AAAAACTAAGATATGGAAAATAAAACCGGTTCAAATCTCTATTTTTAGCATCGTGAGTGTGTTAGAGAATTTAATTCTAAACCAACTACATCACATCACAGCCCTAATCATATCTGTAATTGCAGAATTGTATAGCAACAATCACAAGTTAGTTCTGTAGTTATGATTAGTTTTGGGATTACATAAAAATACTGCACTCCTGAAGCATAAATCAGTGTTAAAAATCGCTGTGCACAAAAATTAACAATTACTGTGCAGTATGCACAATAAATAAAATAACATACCTTGTATAAAAAATTTTTTTGTACGTACAGCATATTTTTAACACCGAGCACTATGTAAAATAATTCGGAAAATTTATAACACTCGAGGGATTTTTATTTTATTTTTAAAAAAAACAATGGCTGGTGGATTTGGCAATTGAGGTTGGCCCGATTTAGAGCCTGATTTAGAGTTAGCATTAAAAGTTGGTTAGTTCCCCGACTATAATCTCTAGTAAATAGTTATCCCCTAAAACAACATTACAGCATGTTGCTAAATTTAATTGTTGATCCTAACTCTAAGTATAAAGTGCATATAACCCATTTCCGGGTTAGACGCTATTTATTTGATTTGAAGTACGAAATGACGCAATCGAAATAGATTCTCGCATTTTTAATTTTGAAACTCATTATGAAACGCTAGCACGAAACAACGAGAATAACAATGTATCTAACCGTTTACTTTTCCATTGACATAAAATTTATATGCATAACGATTACTGGATTATCAAAAGAAAAATTAAAACCTAATTCTTGAAATAATATATCTACTGTATATTCGACAATAATTAACTTATACGGATATCGATAATTTTTATTTATGAAACAAAAAAGGTATAATTTTATGAATATTATTATCTGTTATGATAAATAAATCAGCATGGAAATTAGAAATTTCGGTATTTTCAATTTATTTTTGGACAATAATCTTATCATTCATTGGTGTTAGTAAATGTAAATTGGTAATTTACACAGATTTTTTTTACACAAACTAGTGTAATATTTATGTATAGTACAGTATAGTAGGAAATTTAATTCGAAAGAACATAATTCAACGCTTTAAATTGCCATAATACGATATCTGTTCTTCACCATCTACTATTAAAAAATTTTGTTCTGGATTAAATTGAAACTTCCATCCTGATTAAATAGACAATTTGTTTCGGATTCTGCAAAACCGTTTAGCCCACAACACTAGGTTAGCATAAAATGTTTCACTTATTTATTAAGCATAAAATCACGTGATAAATGCCAAATAACAGAGAAAATATGCCGACACAGAGGACGCGTACAGCATGGCCAGCTGTCTTTACAAAGTCTAATTAATTAAATCCAAATACCTTTAGCATTTAATTTGATGCGGCTTAGTTAAATCTCTACCACATTTATACTAATCTTATTTTTATAGTAAATAATTTGTCTTAAAGATGGTAATAACATTACATTACACGAACCAAATTTGGCATAAAATACTTGATTGACGATCAGCGTAAAAAACAATTCTTTTCTTTCTTTTTCCTACTCTCTTTTTCCTACTCTCTTTTCTTTTATTGTAATTATCATTTTTTATAGATATAGTGTTTAACAAGCAATGAGAAAACTTACTGCTAAAATGCCATGGAGACTAAATACTCGTTTTCGAATTACTTTAATACTTTTACTTATAATTGGTTTTCTATCATATCAATTCATTTTTATTTCAAATATTTTTGATTATTCAATTTATTGGTTTGACCCTTCTTCTAAAATTTCATATTATATCGGATCACAAGTATATTTAAGAAATGTTAGTCGTCTTCCTAAAATACAATATCATTTTAATACTCCAGAAACATTAAATGAAAGATTAATTCGAGAAGCTCGACGTGAATCAGTAAAAAAAGGTTTTCAGCATGCTTGGAACGGATATACAAAATATGCTTGGGGAAAAGATGAATTAGAACCTGTATCTAATGTAGGTCATGATAATTTTAATGGTTGGGGTGCAACGATTGTTGACTCATTAGATACTATGTGGATAATGGACTTAAAAGAGGAATTTAATCGTTCAAGAGATTTTGTTGAAACTGTAGATTTTTCTACAAGTGAAGATGCTATTAGTGTATTTGAGACTACTATTCGTTATTTAGGAGGCTTATTAAGTGCTTATGAATTTTCAAAAGATCCTATATTTTTAGACAAAGCGTTAGAATTAGGAAACGCTTTATTACCTTCTTTTAATAGTGAATCTGGGTATCCCTACGATTCTTGGAATTTTAAATGGTTTGTTTATTTCTTATATGTATACTTTAATATTTATATCTTTATCTGATTAATTCTATCAATTACAGGAATAAAGTTAAAAATTTTAAAAGACCATGGAATTTAGCCATTTTGGCTCAAATTGGAACTTTGCAGTTAGAATTTATGAAATTATCTCAATTAACGGGTAATAGCGAATTTTTCTTCAAGGTGAGCTACTATCTTTCATTTAGCAATGTAGTGTGGATTATCGTTCTTATTAACAACTGTATAATATTTGCTATTTTGAAGGTTAATAATATTACACAAATTCTCGACGATATACCAAAGCCTATCCCTGGACTATATCCTTTATTCTTGGATCATGGTCTGAATTATTATTTTATTATAAAGTTTCACAGGTTGAATCAATGAATATCGGGTACATACCAGGAGATAAGTTTCCTGATATGTACCCGATAGAGGGACACGGAAAAAGTGCGATTTTATTTATAGGATTTGAAATTCCTATAAATAAAATCGCACTTTTCCGTGCCCCTGCACGATAGCCTGCCAAATACCTGCTGTATATCAGTTGCATATTGGTAACACATTGGTAAGATATTGAAAGGTGGATCGATTTTGGTAAAATAACAGCACAATATTGGGATACCCTGATATCTCATCTTAACACTTTGGGCCTGAAAGTAAGATATTGGATTTCCCAACATTTTATTGTTATGTTTCCGATATCGATTTACCTCCCGACATCTTACCAATATGTCAATATGCAGCTGATATACTTGGCGGATCTATGGCAGCTTATCGGGTACATGTCAGGAAACTTGTCTCCCTGTATGCATCCGATATTCATTGATTCAACCTGTGTTTTAATTATAGAATCCTTTTGTTTTAATATTTACATATTTCTATCATCCATTTTTCTCATCAAATAGAAACTGGTGAATTCGTAGGACGTAAGTCTTAGTTTCTTTAAATTCAAATTTAATGATTAATATCATTAACATATTACTTAATAAGTATTCGCTAATTTGATTAGACGACATAACCTTTGGTGGTGCTGGTGACAGTTTTTATGAGGTTTGCGATATAAAATCTATTTATTTTTATCCAAAACTAGCTTATTTTTCTCAAATTTAACCATTTAATTAATTTATGTAAATAGTATTTAATAAAGCAATACATTATGGTTGGAGGTGCAATCGATCAATTTCGAAAAATGTGTATGTGTATATAAAACTATTTATATAATTCACTATTTACTGTCTAATAAGATTTTAATGGTTTTATGTAGATGTTGAATCAATTGATAGTATGCATGAGCACCTTATTAAGGATGGCAAAATTAAAGATCGACCAGATTTGGTCTTCATTGGCGAGCTATCCTTTGGATCATTTGTTGGAAAGCTACAACATTTGGTAATTTCAAGTGACAATATTTTTTGATTTTATTTTTTTATTTAAAAAAAAAAAAAAAAAAATCAACTTTATTTATTTTTTAGACATGTTTTGTTCCCGGGATGCTTGCCATTGGATCAAAAGTTCTTGATAGACCTCAAGACCTCGAACTTGCAATAAAATTGGCAGAATCATGTTATTGGGCTTATGAAATGACATACACTGGAATTGGTCCAGAAGATCTCTGGTATATGTCAAGCAATGATACGTATAACGAATCAGAAAAAAAACTTAAGAATAGTTGGAAAGATAAGAATCTTCCAGATGGTGTACTTAAATTGGGTCATGGGTATAAATTAAGGCCAGGTAAGAAACATTTTATTATTTGTTATATTTTAAAATATAGTTTTCTGATGAATTGTACACTTATAATTTTTATACTTTATTAATTTTATTTTAATTAGAAACCATTGAGAGTTTATTCATTCTATATAGAGTAACAGGCGATAAAACATATCAAGATAAAGGATGGAAAATATGGCAGGTAATGTCAAACTATAATTTTTTTTCATTAATAAATCTAAAAATGTTGTTTTATTATCTTTAATAAATCTAAAAATGTTGTTTTATTATCTTTAATAAATCTAAAAATGTTGTTTTATTATCATTGCAGGCTATTGAAAAATGGTGTAAAACATCTTCAGCTTATTCAGGATTAGTGAATGTAAATTCAGAACAAGTTTCACAGAATAATAATATGGAAAGGTAACTCATATATGTATTTTGCTATTTTATCATATTATTATCATTGCTATTATCTGATTCTGAATATTTTTATTTAAAAAATATAGTTTTTTCTTGGCCGAAACGTTAAAATATTTATACTTACTATTTAGTCCACCCGATCTTATTTCACTAGATACTTATGTGTTTAATACCGAAGCACATCCTTTACTTAGAATGGCAAAAACTTTTTAGATTACTAAAAGAGAAGAGCATTGTGTTTTTAATATTTAATAAATTTAATAAATACCTACACTTTTATGGCTATTTTCATTAAAGCCTTGTAATTGTGTCTTGCTAAATATTTAAACATTGAATTTAGATCAAATTACAACTTCGAGAGCTTTGAATTTAAATACCCTTATATCCAGCGAAATCGATCCTTCATTCCGCAATATAGTTAATAAGAAATTACATATAATTTATATAAAATAGAATGTTAGTATAACTAAATTTAATGCTGCTCATTTTTTAGTTGAAGGTCGGATAGTTGTTAGTAAAATTTGTTAGCTACACATAGATTTTACGATTTCGATCGTTTCGGACCACGTGTAGGTTCGTTTTCGCAGTACCTTTGAAGTTAAACCGCGAACTTAAATCGCATTCATTATCGTTATGTATCACAAAGCGTCGATCTGAGTACCATCCGACGGATACGCCTTACTTCACCGACAATCATTTCACCGACAACTAGAGTTAATACATGAATCCGGATCTAATCATTAAATCCGGATTTAATCATTAAATTCGGATTTACAGCTGTTTTCATAAATTCTGGGACACCTAAAAATTTTCTCGTTTCCCGAAACTTCTTCGATCTCATTCTAAGAATCACCTACCTTTTCGGAAACTACTTCGCTGTA